TAAATCACAACATTATTCTGTACACCTTAAACTTATATAGTGCTGTATGTCAATTATATCTCAATTAAACTGGAAGAGAAAAAAGTTTTTAAATTAAAAAAACGTTGATCACATCATCTGTCATCACATTGCTAAATTATAAATTTGTTTCATCTTCTTTTAATGTTTTCTTTCATTTAAAACCTTGGTTCAGTAGTTTGAAAGTGATGAAGTTAATTTTTCCTGTCATGAGCATTTCATACCTTTTAGAGTTGGTTGTGAGAATCTGGACTCAGTCACACCTAAATTTGAGATTCTCTGCTGTTATTATCTTGATGCATGATTTTGGGCAAGATAGTCGACCTCTCTTTGCCTCAATTTTCTCATCTATGAAATAGTGATGAGAATAATGGTACTTGCCCCGTAGAACTGCTGTGAAGGTTAAATGATATAATCAATGTGTAACTTTTAGCAACATACATGATAACTTTTGTTATACTACCCAAATTAGATAAATGGTGAGAGGGAGGAAGTGTGTAATTATTCAGCAATTACTATATTACTAATACTTTTCTTATGATAGTTCATTTAATCCTTTCTACTATCTTATGAAATATGTATTGTCCCATTTTATAAATGGGGAAACTGAGATGTTCAATATAAATATACTTTGTTTTGCCCTGTAAGTAACCTCAGGCACAGAGCCCCTGACATTGGGCTGCTCTCTTGTGAAGTGGGGGAGTAATTCATATTCTAACTTAGGAGGCTCCAGTGAAACACATCACCAAGAACAGCACGGTGCCCTGGAATCACCTTCTGGAATGTAAATATCTCTATACTGTTTCCTGCTAGGGGTGATAATGCAGCTACATCTCCCTGCCAGTTCTCCCCAGGAAAGTTTGTCATCAGCCTCACGAGGTGCCAAAGAAATAATGCAAGAGTCAAACAGCCTTTTCTGGGTGCTCTGACTGCCGGAGCCTCTTACAGCTCCATGCCCTGGAGCGAGGCCTGGGCCTCCTCGTTCTGAGCAGGGGAACCCTGCACGAGTTAGACTTGGGTTGAGCAGCATCCAACAGGAATCAGCTCAGCTCAGACCTAGGGAGGAGACTCACAGACGTCTACAAAGATTTTATTCCTAAAGCAGAGTTTTGCCAGATGTGAAAGAGTCTTTTGTAGAGTTGAGTGATGGTCCATCTACCACGTGTCCTAGGCATTTTGACCTCCTGAGGCCTCTTCTTTCTTTATAAGCTAAGCTTTCCTTTCATACACGAGGCAGGGAGATAAACCAAACCAGTTCAGTCTTCAAAGGAGCCATGCAGTACCAAAAAAAGGCTGTAACTACTATGAGCAGAGACTGCAAAAATGCAGACCCCTCCATATGCATGGAATCGTGCAGTGTTTGTCCTTCTCTGGCTGCCTTATTTCATTGGGCCTGGTGTCCTTGGGGTTCATCCACATTGTGGCATATTGCCAAATGAATTTCCTCCTTTTTAAAGGATGAGGGATGTTCCATTGTTTGTATATACCACATTGTTTTTGTCCATTCATCCACTGACGTTTGGGTTGTTTCCACATCTTGGCTATTGTGACATGATGTATCTAAAACAGTCAAATTCACAGAAGCAAAGAACAGAGTGGTGGTTGCCAGGGGTTGGGGAGGGGTGGGAAATGGGGAGGTATTAGTCAAATGTCTAAGTTTCAGTTAAGCAAGGTGAATAAGTTCTAGAGATCTACTGTACAACATTGTGCTTACAGATAAGAGGGTAGGTCTCGTGTGTTACTACCACGAATTAAAAGCCAAAAAAAAAGTATACTTTTTTTTGGCAAATGAAAGGTATCTAATCAGAGTAGAATAATAATCTGAGTTTTACTTTAGAAGGACGACTTTGGTGTTGTTAAAAAATACATGTAGAGGAGGAGAAACTGTAGCCAAGAGAAGTTAGGAAGTCATTTTTCTCATCCTGGTGAAAGGTAATGAAGGTGTAGGGGAGGAAAAAGTTTTCCTTGACCCTCTTAGGGTCCCTAACTGGGTCTGAAAATTAAACTGACAAACATAGTTTAACAGGGTTAAAGCATACAAATTAAGTTTTATGTGACAGCATCCTTCATAAGGAGAGGAGGACCCAAAGAAACAGTTAAATCTGAGTATTTTTATGCTAGGCTTGATGAAGAGTGGAGAGTCGTGGGAGAATGTGATAGATCAGAGAGTATGAGAAATTTAGCAAATCCTATTTGTTAGAATTTTTCTATGTGTCCCTTTGTCTGTGGAGATAAGGATGCTCCTTTCCCCCAGCTATAGGGAAGGCACCTCTCCCATGAAGGTTTTATGACCTGTTTCAGGGGAGAAGTGCAGGGGGAATGTCAGAGTGACCTTTCTGCTTCTGCTATTTTCACAAACTCCTTCAGCTTAAGACATTTAGTATACCAAGGTGCCATATTTTGGGGATAGCATGTTCTCAACCCCATCAAAGCCCTACAGTAAGAAGAGTTGGAGACAACTGAGCCAATCTGATTGACATTTCAGAGGTAAGAATCGACTGAATTCTACTGGATGTGATTTAATCTTAGGGGTCAGGAGAAGAGAAGGCTAATGCATCTCCCTCCGATATTTTGAGTTTGAAGAACCTTTGGGATATCTAGGTTTAGATGCTCAGTAGGCAACTGGAGCTGTGGGCCTGGGGATCAAGAAAGAAGTCTTGAATGGAGCCAAGAGTTTTACAAATAAAGGATATTAGAAATAATAGTTGAATCCAACATGGGAGTGTCAAACAGAAAAGTAAAGAGACCAGAGAGCAAAGTCCCAAGGGAGACCAACATTTAGGGGTAGTTGGAAGAATTGGTGTGTCTAGCAGAATGTTAGGATCATGAAATAGGAGCGAAGTAAAGGGAATTTCTAGGAGTAGGTAGTCTCTGGCAACATCTGATATTTCAGAGACATCAAACAAAACATGAGCTCTGAAAAGAGGTCATCAGGTTAAATAGGCCATTTTTAACCCAAGAGAAAGCACTTTCTGTAATGTGGTAAGATACTAGAATATGCTGTATTGAAATGAGAACATGGGTGAGGACAGAGACTGTGTGTAGAAAACTCTTAAGAAATTGGCTAACGAAGTAAATTTCTTTGACAGACAGGACTAAGTTTTAAGGCTATCATAGAGCTAAAGATGAAGTGAGGAAAATTTATAGAAAACAGAAGCTCAGAACCAAATACAGCAGATCTTGAAACATTTTCTCCTATTACTAGTACCTAGTATAATTTCTGCATGTACATATGCTGAAATGTATAAATCCCTTCAGTTTTACTGACTCAATTTTTTTTCCCTGTATAATTGAATTTTGTTAAGGTCTTCCCATAGCTAGGGTTTTTGTTTTGTTTTACTTTTTGGGCATAAAATTCAATTCAGCAATTTTAGAATTACACGAGCAGTTATTTCAAGCATGTGCTCACAAAGCACTTCACACTAGTTGCACTTCACTGTTGGCAAAACTTTGCACATAGTCATTGCTTAAGGAAGCACTTTTGTGAAGTTTTAAATGTAATTAAAAGTGATGTTATGCTATTTTAAGTTCTATTTTTTTTTTTCTTTCTACATTTTGGCTCTGCATTCTACTTTTAATGATACTATACTATTGAGCGTGAGATGGAGAAATGTTTATATAATGCAGTGCCCTCTCCCAAACATAGCCCTTTCCTTCCCATTAAAAGTAACTATCACTGTTCTGATTATTGTATAGTCACTTCCTTGCTTTTTAAAATTGTTTTATTACATAGTTGTACATTCCTGGGGCGCAGTGGTTAAGAATCTGCCTGCCAATGCAGGGGACACAGGTTCGAGCCCTGGTCTGGGAAGATCCCACATGCCGTGGAGCAACCAAGCCCGTGCGCCACAACTACTGAGCCTGTGCTCTAGAGCCTGCAAGCCACAACTACTGAGCCCACGTGCCACAACTACTGAAGCCTGAGTGCCTAGAGCCTATGCTCTGCCCCCTTCCACTTTTCTTTTTTTTTTTTTTTGGACAAGATTACTTCTTAGGTAGTGGGGTGTTCCTCCTCAGGAGACACACAGTTCTGTTTTTGAGATGATTGCAGTAGTTGATGCAAAATGACTGGATTCATGATTCACCAGGGTTTCCTGCATCATTGTACTGTATTTCTATGATTTCTTCATTTATTTGCTGGAATTCTATAAAGAGAAAGTTATCTTCCTTTATTATTTGGTTACCAGTGGTACATTTAGTATAGGAAGAGCAGTGTGCTTACTTGATATTTTTTTCTTTATTTACCACTGTTCAAAATTTTAAAAAGCTGGCTCTAAGTTGGATATATATATCAATATCTATATCTACATATTTATATATAGATATATCACCTAATGGCTTTGTACTGATATTTCAAATGCAGTGAAAATTCAGAACTGCAAGATGTTTATTTAAATTCTTCTGTCTCACGACTGTATCTTTATCCCATCCCTACAAATTCTTAAGGAGTAAGAAGACTGGGAATGACAGAATTAGTATATCACACAAACCCACATTACACACAAAACTTTCTTGTAGTAACTACCAATAACATGATTACTGAAAGGAGCTGAAACAGTCACTCCTTTCTCTCCTTACTAGTTTCTGTTTGTTTCTACGGTTGTACTGTTTCTATACTGTCAGAGCACATGGCACTTCTTTCAACAGTACTCTTCCCCCTATATCCTTGTCAGCTAGTGAGTTTAAGCAGATTAAGATCACAGCGTTAGGCTTTTGTGATTCCATTACTGTTGTAACAAAACTTTTCTTCAGCTGTGCCCATGAAAGAAAATAATAAAGGGAACTAAATATATGTTACAGAGGAATAATTCTTCAAAGGAATATTACATTAGGAAACTGTTGATATAGCACTGTTGTTACATTAGGAAACTGCTGATATAGCCCTATTGTTGATTATTTAAACTTTTTTATATCTTGGATTTCCCCTAAATGTAACTTTTACAACATCTTTTTGTTTGTTTGTTTTCTTTTGTGGTAAATAGAACATTCCAATATGCCAGTCGAAAAAAATATCACTTTAGAAAGACCTTCTAATATAGAACTCACATGCCAATTCATGGCATCTGGAGATTTGAATTCAGTAAATGTGACTTGGAAAAAAGGTGATGAACTACTTGAGAATAATTACGTCATCAATGTAACAGGAAGCGTCCTGTATACCCAATACATGTGAGTAAACAAAATTTTAACCTGTATGGCTAGATGAAATTAAATTCTAAATATTTTCCTGAATGAGCATTCTTTCCTTTGCTGTCACTGAATGTATGCTAATATTCTAATTTGCATATTTACAAAATTTTTTCATCTTTAAATTTTGATTAACGGCTGAGTCTTTCTTTTTCATTTAAGGAGAGTTTTTTGAGAACTAAGCCTGTATTAATAACTTAAATTATCTTTAGGTTCACCATCGTGAATAGCGAACAAATGGGAAGTTATTCTTGTTTCTTTGAGGAGAAAAAGGAACAAAGGGGCACATTTAATTTCAAAGGTCAGTACTAATAATTTGTACAGTAATAACTTTAGCATTATATTCTTAGAATTCTAAATCTTCAAATTTGTTGGGAAGAAAATATCTAGTTTTTGTGCTGAAATAAATCTTTACCATTATGTAAAGTTCTTGGATCTCATGCCATCATCTAAAATCCTGTTGTGTTCACAAAATAATTGTTGTGGTAGAAAATAAACAAATCCTCAAATTTTAAAATTATTATTACAATACTAAAAATACAGCTGAAAAAAAAGGCATCATGTGCTTTCTATTGAATCATAAGTGGTGACCTTGAAAATGGAGCGTCACAGTGTCTTCCCGGTGCTCCCTCCCCCAGTTTAAAACACAGGTTTTAGTTTGAAAGATCAGGCTGCCAGGTCATTTGTACCTCTCTTGTGGCAGTCTCTTGAATTTATTTATTTATTTAGCCCTCCCAACTCAGACCTTTTATAATACTCCTCTAGGTGTCTGAGTTATTGCATTCCTAGACTGTGAGAATATGCTTTGGTGTTCTGTATCAGTGGCTCCAGGACTTGGGATTTTAGGAACCCATAAAATTTAAAAATAATTTGGAGACGCACAAAGGTTGCCTGCTTTTGATTTCATCAAGTAAGGACAAACCCCAGAATGTAATCCACAGTTCTCCCCCATAGGAAAAAATAAACTCAAAGTATTTTACTCTTACCATCATTAAACCAAAACTTTAAAGGTCTCAATCTCATAATAGAGACTAGTTGTTCAAGTTGGGTAATTATCTTCATGAAAAACCCATATTCTCTGATAGATAAGTGAACGTCACTGTCCCTGCTGGTATTTGGGAAATGCAGTCTGTTGCCATATTAACTGTCTTGGGCTTTGCTTCACATTAATTTACCAGCACACATGAGAAATTGTTTACTTTTTCCTAAAAATTGTTAAATCCAGCTAGCTGCTATGACAAAATACGAATTCTATGCCCAAAGTCCCATCAATAGCAGAATGGCCTGACTCATCACTGCCATGATTTCAGATGGTCCCCTCCTTCATCCCTCCCTATAGTCCCTCTGCACTCAGACTCATTTCCTTCCTGTGGTTTTATAAATATTCCTACTGGGCAAATATAATAAATCCTTGTATTTATGCACTTTGGTCTCTGCAAAGGCAGAAACTATTATCATCTTTTGATTATTTTGATCATGTACATTCTCTTTTAACCTTCTTTCCTCCATTTGCCAAATTTAACCTAGTGAAGGAGAGATATATACATTTCCTTCCCTTTTTCCTTTTCTTACCTTCCCTTTTCCTTTTCTTTCCTCAGTCTTTTTCTCTTGCCCCCGCCTTGCCATCCTAATGAACTAACAGATACTAAACACATGGACACACAATCCTAGTATACATTTTATATGTCTCCTTTAAATGTGTAAAGAAGGCCTACAGGTCTTGAGGAAATACTCATCAAATCTTGAGGCTCAAAGTGCCTCCAGGAGATTCAACTTTAAAAATTGCTTTGGGCTTCCCTGGTGGCGCAGTGGTTGGGAGTCTGCCTGCTGATGCAAGGGACACGGGTTCGTGCCGCGGTCTGGGAGGATCCCGCGTGCCGCCGAGCGGCTGGGCCCGTGAGCCATGGCCGCTGAGCCTGCGCGTTCGGAGCCTGTGCTCCGTGATGGGAGAGGCCACGGCGGTGAGAGGCCCGCGTACAGCAAAAAAAAAAATTGCTTTTTCCCCTCTTCTAAATAGCACTGTTTTCTAGAAATATGTACTAGTCATGCCTGTTCAAAGTTTAAATATCGAATATATTACATTTTTTCTTATTAGCACTGTTATGATAAATTACTTAAATTATTACTTGATCATTCTAGTCTCTAATGTGAAGATTAACAGAAGCATTTTAGTTTTCAGTGTACTAATAAATTTAATGCCAAGTAGTCTTAAAGAAGGCCTCTTGATCTGTATCTATTTTGAGTAACTAGGTTGATGCTGGCTGGTGTCAGAAGCACCTACACAAGGTCTAGGTTTGAAATCAAGTGCTTGAGGAATGCAAAGAACCACTGAATATTTACTTTCTTTCTTTTTATAGTTTTCTTAAAGCAGTTTAGTTCAGTTTATTTGTTTTAAATGCCCACTTAACAATGTAACTTTTAAGTATGTACTATATCTTAAAGATTTTTATACAATTAGTAAGTTGGGCCCTTCCAGATTTTCTTTGGTAAAATAATTCTCTTTAATTTATCTAAGTTGAATATTGCTTGGAGGAATCATTTCATTTGAGTACAATTTAAAGGCATCTGCAGAACAATTCATATTATAGTTATTATTTAATTAGATCTTGTAAGGCTTCTAGAATGGTGTATGTTTTTATTTTTACAAATATCCTATTTTACTCTTTCTCCACATGGATTGCTTATGGCTTTTCCTAAGAAGAGGATTATCTGTTCAGTTGAGTGTGGATGAAAAGCCTGTTTTATCCTCCCTTTAAAATTGAGCCAAAAAAAAAAAATTCTGCTATTGATCACATGAGTCAACTAAAGTGCATGAGCCTGAGGCCTCAGAACAATTTATCAGCAAAGTCCTTGCTTCTGCCTTTATGGGAACTGGTTGATTTATTACTACAAGATTATAAAAGGGCCTCAACATCACTGATTAGTACAGTGTGGAAAAACCTGCTGACTTTGTGTGTTTGGCTGTTGATGACAGTACAGGGAGAAAGCCAAAGTCACACTGGAAGCTTGCAACTGCTAATGTCACTGACTGCCTTTCACCAAGAAAGATGGGTGGTGGTCTGCAATGTTTTTTAGTAGTAGGTCAAATATTCTGAGGTAGATGCTGAAAATTTCTATAATAACCATCAATGTTAAAACTCTTAGTAAAAGGATGCAGAAACTTAGTTGGTAAAGCATAAGTAATAGGACATAGAACTTCTTGGAAGACATGGTGAGATTCTGATAGTACCAAGTGCTATGAAACCTGCCTTGGCCCAGCCATCTGTCCTCACTGGGAAGCATCCAAGGAGTCAAAGGGAAGGGCACAGTAACAGAATCAGTTTGAACTTAAGCTTCAAACCCCAGTGCTAAAACCTAGTTCGCTGTCTTTGACTATATGGAAGAATCTTTTTCCCAATTTGATAACACCTAAACATCCTTGAGCCAAAAATGACACAGGCTAATGTTTTCTAGTCCATAAATATGCAAATATAAATCGCTAAGATTTACAACTCCACAGGGTTTTCACTTTCACTGAGTAGTTCCTAGACCTCATCTTCCTAGATACTAGTCTGAATCAGCAATTTCACCATCTTTAAACTTGAATTCTTTCAACCCCAAGATTTTGTGTGTCCTACTTTATCCAGAGTTCCCGCAGCAGTGAATTCCACCATTCTGTCTTCCAGGTCACTTATCTTTTCTTCTGCCTCAGTTATTCTGCTATTGATTCCTTCTAGTGTAGTTTTTATTTCAGTTATTGTACTGTTCATCTCTGTTTGTTTGTTCTTTAATTCTTCTAGGTCTTTGTTAACCATTTCTTGCATCTTCTCGATCTTTGCTTCCACTCTTTTTCCAAGGTCCTGGATCATCTTCACTATCATTATTCTGAATTCTTCTTCTGAAAGGTTGCCCATCTCCACTTCATTTAGTTGTTTATCTGGGGTTTTACCTTGTTCCTTCATCTGGTACATAGCTCTCTGCCTTTTCATCTTGTCTTTCTGTGAATGTGGTTTTTGTTCCACAGGCTGCAGGATTGTAGTCCTTGCTTCTGCTGTCTGCCCTCTGGTGGATGAGCCTACTTAAGTGGCTTGATGGGAGGGACTGGTGGTGGGTAGAGCTGACTGTTGCTCTGGTGGGCAGAGCTCAGTAAAACTTTAATCCACTTGACTGTTGATGGGTGGGGTCTGGGTTCCCTCCCTGTTGGTTGTTTGGCCTGAGGCAACCGAACACTGGAGCCTACCTGGGCTCTATGGTGGGGCTAATGACAGACTCTGGGAGGGCTCATGCTGCCAGTGTCCTTGTCCCCACGGTGAGCCACAGCCCCCACCCCCCCACCCCCACCTCTGCAGGAGACCCTCCAACACTAGCAGGTAGGTCTGGTTCAGTCTCTCCTGGGGTCACTGCTCCTTCCCCTGGGTCCCGATGCGCACACTACTTTGTGTGTGCCCTCCAAGAGTGGAGTCTCTGTTTCCCCCACTCCTGTCGAAGTCCTGTAATCAGTTCCCACTGGCTTCAAAGTCTGATTCTTTAGGAATTCCTCCTCCCATTGCCGGAGCCCCAGGTTGGGAAGCCTGATGTGGGGCTCAGAACCTTCACTCCAGTGGGTGGACTTCTGTGGTATAAGTGTTTGCCAGTCTGTGAGTCACCCACCCGACAGTTATGGGATTTGATTTTACTGTGATCTTTATTTTTATTTTTTAATTTTTCTTTTTACATCTTTATTGGAGTATAATTGCTTTACAATGGTCTGTTAGTTTCCACTTTACAACAAAGTGAATCAGTTATACATATACCTATGTTCCCATATCTTTTCCCTCTTGCGTCTCCCTTCCTCCCACCCTCCCTATCCCACCCCTCCAGGAGGTCACAAAGCATCGAGATGATCTCCCTGTGCTACGCCGCTGCTTCCCACTAGCTATCTACCTTACGTTTGGTAGTGTATATATGTCCATGCCTCTCTCTCTCGCTTTGTCACAGCTTACCCTTCCGCCTCCCCATATCCTCAAGTCCATTCTCTAGTAGGTCTGTGTCTTTATTCCTGTCTTACCCCTAGGTTCTTCATGACATTTTTTTTCTTAAATTCCATATATATGTGTTAGCATACGGTATTTGTCTTTCTCTTTCTGACTTACTTCACTCTGTATGACAGACTCTAGGTCTATCCACCTCATTACGAATAGCTCAATTTCGTTTCTTTTTATGGCTGAGTAATATTCCATTGTATATATGTGCCACATCTTCTTTTTATTCATTCATCCGAAGATGGACACTTAGGTTGTTTCCATCTCTGGGCTATTGTAAATAGAGCTGCAATGAGCATTTTGGTACATGACACATTCCCACCAGCAGTGCAAGAGTGTTCCCTTTTCTCCACACCCTCTCCAGCATTTATTGTTTCTAGATTTTTTGATGATGGCCATTCTGACTGGTGTGAGATGATATCTCATTGTAGTTTTGATTTGCATTTCTCTAATGATTAATGATGTTGAGCATTCTTTCATGTGTTTGTTGGCAGTCTGTATATCTTCTTTGGAGAAATGTCTATGTAGGTCTTCTCCCCATTTTTGGATTGGGTTGTTTGTTTTTTTGCTTTTGAGCTGCATGAGCTGCTTGTAAATTTTGGAGATTAATCCTTTGTCAGTTGCTTCATTTGCAAATATTTTCTCCCATTCTGAGAGCTGTCTTTTGGTCTTGTTTATGGTTTCCTTTGCTGTGCAAAGGCTCTTAAGTTTCATTAGGTCCCATTTGTTTTTGATTTTATTTCCATTTCTCTAGGAGGTAGGTCAAAAAGGATCTTGCTGTGATTTATGTCAGAGTGTTCTGCCTATGTTTTCCTCTAACAGTTTGATAGTTTCTGGCCTTACATTTAGGTCTTTAATCCATTTTGAGTTTATTTTTGTGTATGGTGTTAGGGAGTGTTCTAATCTCATACTTTTACATGTACCTGTCCAGTTTTCCCAGCACCACTTATTGAAGAGCCTGTTCTTTTTCCACTGTACATTCCTGCCTCCTTTATCAAAGATAAGGTGACCATATGTGCATGCGTTTATCTCTGGGCTTTCTATCCTGTTCCATTGATCTATATTTCTGTTTTTGTGCCAGTACCATACTGTCTTGATTACTGTAGCTTTGTAGTATAGTCTGAAGTCAGGGAGCCTGATTCCTCCAGCTCTGTTTTTTGTTCTCAAGATTGCTTTGGCTATTTGGGGTCTTTTGTGTTTCCATACAAATTGTGAAATTTTTTGTTCTAGTTCTGTGAAAAATGCCACTGGTAGTTTGATAGGGATTGAATTGAATCTGTAGATTGCTGTGGGTAGTAGAGTCATTTTCACAATGTTGATTCTTCCAATCCAAGAACATGGTATATCTCCCCATCTATTTGTATCATCTTTAATTTCTTTCATCAGTGTCGTATAATTTTCTGCATACAGGTGTTTTGTCTCCTTAGGTAGGTTTATTCCTAGATATTTTATTCTTTTTGTTGCAGTGGTAACTGGGAGTGTTTTCTTAATTTTATTTTCATATTTTTCATCATTAGTGTATAGGAATGCCAGAGATTTCTGTGCATTAATTTTGTATCCTGCTACTTTACCAAATTCATTGATTAGCTCTAGTAGTTTTCTGGTAGCATCTTTAGGATTCTCTATGTATAGTATCATGTCATCTGCAAACAGTGACAGCTTTACTTCTTCTTTTCCGATTTGGATTCCTTTTATTTCCTTTTCTTCTCTGATTGCTGTGGCTAAAACTTCCAAAACTACGTTGAATAAGAGTGGTGAGAGTGGGCAACCCTGCGTCCCTCCTACCAGCTCATTGTGGCTTCTCCTTTGTCTTTGGATGTGGGGTATCTTTTTTTGGTGAGTTCCAGTGTCTTCCTGTCGATGATTGTCCAGCAGCTAGTTGTGACTCTGGTGTTCTTGCAAGAGGGAGTGAGAGCACGTCCTTCTACTCTGCCATCTTGGTTCCTCTCCACAAACTCTTATTCATCTGCTTTAGCCAAGGACTTGCATAAGTGTTTCAAGCAGCAGAATTTGTTTTACAGCTTCACTGAAAAGTTTTTTAATATATGTTATTAAAGGATGGATTGGTGCCACCTCCAGCATCTCAAAGCTACTGTTTCTTCATTCTTCTGGGCCTTGTCTCCTGTGAATTCATCTTTTATTTTTCATCATTTTAATCTCTTTTAATCACCTTTCTTAGATGGGCTGGGTGTTCTGTAAATGGCTCACTTTGGACCCTTTTCCACATTTGGGGGTGTTTTTATACATTCCTATGGTTCTGAGATTAATTCAGGTGAATTTCCAGTTCTCCTTTTATTCTGTGTCTTATTTCTTCTCTGTTCCACATGGCCAGCTGGCCTAGAAATCATTCTTGCACATGACAATAATCCATGCCATTAAACTGGCTAATGTAGGAAGGCTGTGGGCATTACAAATTGTACGAAAACTGAATTAAGAAAAGCAATACCAGTACATGATGACAACAAAAGTTCGAATTTTGTGGTGTTTGCTCTACACCAAGCCCTTTATATATTGTGTTCCTGTACTTAATTCTTTACAGTAACATTGTAGAAGGGTATGACCAACCTATGTCCTCAACACTAGTAACACTGAAGCTATAATTCTAATTCAAATATTTCCTGGACCCAAATCTTATATGTTTGTCACATCATTGTCTCATTGTGCTGACTACTTCAAACGCTCATTGAGCTTTGAAATGGACACATATTAACCACATTTCCCTTAGTGTCTCTCAGCCTAATGGTGACCAATAAGGAGTGTGGGACACTAGTAGCCATTTGAAAGGAGTGTTCAGAATATCCTCTGGCAAGGTCAACTCACCAATTTCTTCTGGCTGGGATGACTTCAGTCATGCCAGTCACATGTGTTCACTTCTCTCCTACCTCAGGAGTACCCTAGTGGTACCTTACTAGGTGCTCATAAACTATTAGTGGGGTGATAATAAATTCTGATTGGCAATTCACATCTTTGGGTAATGTAAAATTGTAGATCATTCAGTTTTATCAAAACATATTTCCTTGGTTATGAAAAGTATGAGAACCGTTGACTTATAGATTGCTCTGTCATCTTATGATTTACACTTTCAGTGGTGATATATCTTCCTTATTTGCATCTCTTTATTATTAGCAGTGCCTCATTCAACACTCTGCTGGTCAGCATTGCTGATGAAGGAGGGGGTGATATGTGCAATTGTATTTAGGCTCACGTTAAACCATAAGGAAAACTGAAGACTTCCGACACTCATCACTGTAACATTAATCACCTAAAGACAGAACCTGTGAAGAAATCCAACCCTATGTTTACCCCTATACAATTGGTTATAGAAGTCAGAATTTCTTTTCCACTTATTACCAATTATTTCCCCCTTCCTCATCTTTACAGTTCATACATCCAGCAAATGCCCAATATTCTTCTGGTAGTAGAAAGCCAAGAGCGTTTAGAAAATGTATTTAATCTGGAAACCTAATTTTAGCAATTAAAATTGATCTTTCCATTTTCCACCCTGACCCTCCCCAAAATAAAATCTAAAAATAGGATAACAAGTGAATAGCAAACAGTATCTATAAACTTTGTCAACACAGTATTAATAATTTAGATATTGTCTCTCTGCTGGCAAACCAAAAAAACAAAAAGGAAAAACAAAACACAAAACCCGCTAAAATTAGTAAAAGAAAAAAAAATCAACAGTCATCTTTGTTGATAAGTCTGTCTCCCATAAAAGTGTACATTTTATAATACATGTTTTGAGGTCAATCAGAAGGAACTGATTTCACCATGGAAGCTGCCAGTTGGCTTTTTATTGCTTTGTTTATGTTCTTATGCTTTAATTTTCTTTACCAAGTTATTCATAGCCTTAAAACTTAATTTTTCTAAATTCAGTGCTCATTTTTATTGTTACTAATGGCACATGCTTCAAACTTTAAGAAATTTATCACAATGAATATTAGTTTTTGTTTTTTTCCTACAAAACCACATGAAAGTGGGTTTTTTTTTTTTTTTTTTTTTTTGGTCCGCGGGACTCTCCCTGTTGTGGCCTCTCCCGTTGCGGAGCACAGGCTCCGGACGCGCAGGCTCAGCGGCCATGCCTCACGGGCCCAGCCACTCCGCGGCATGTAGGATCTTCCTGGACCGGGGCACGAACCCATGTCCCCTGCATCGGCAGGTGGACTCTCAACCACTGCGCCACCAGGGAAGCCCGAAAGTGTTTTTTATCTCATTTTCTTTCCTATTCTTTTCTCTTTCTCTTAAATTTCCTTTGCTCCTTTCTCATCTTCCCATCTTCTCCAACTCTTTTCATAAATCTGTGTCAAATAAAAATTTTAAATCCTGAAAATTCTGTCTCCTCACTAGAGTGCCATTTAAGGGTAAACTTTGAAAAAATATTTGCTCTAACGTAACTTAGTAGGTGGGAAGAAAGAATAGTCTTGAAAACATGAAGTTTCTTTCTTATCCAAAGCATGTAACAGTCTATTACAATACTTGTAATTGTTATTGGCTCAATAATAGAAGATCTTCCTTCTGTTTCTATATTACTGACAATTATATTGCACCACCTACCTACTACAACTATACGTCCTAACTATAGTTAACTATACTGTAAATTAGTTCATTTTATATAGAACTAAAACTACAGAAATAAAATCATATATTAGTGAAAAAATGAAAGGAGAAATTATATTCAACTTGAATACATTCCCCCTATTCAAACTCTTTCAGTAACATATGTTTCTCTCCATTTTTCTTAGTCCCTGAACTTCATGAAAAAAAGAAACCGTTGATCACTTATGTAGGGGATTCAGTTGTCTTGATGTGTAAATGTCAAGACTGTTTTCCTTTAAATTGGACCTGGTACAGTAGTAATGGGAGTGTACAGGTAAGATCATATTTCTTTGACTTGAAGAAAACAAAATAAAAACTTTTATTTGATAAATAATAAGATTATAATACACTCACAGTTCTTAGGACTATTTATACTTCTGTTATCTTGTTCCTTAATATGTGTTCATGAAGAAAGAACAGGATGAATGGAGCTGTCATTTGGTGTTTTTAGCATATTACATTATACATCTGAAGATACTCTTAATGTTTCATTAAGTGGTACTTTGTTTTTTAGATTTAGCAATTTATTAAAATTCTATGAAAGGGAGTTACAGTTCATTTTTAGTTGACAAGTTTAGATATAACCCCAACAAAAAAGATTCTTTTTTTTCTTATCATTTCATGAGAGTAACTAGAAAAAAAGAAAGGGAGTTTTCTTTTCATGCTTCTGTCTCTGGAAACATTTTTGATAGAATGCAATACACTGGCAGCATCTGAGAAAAGAATGAAAATTTGGTAACTTAAACTCAGGTTTTAGGTTCTTTTAGTGTCACTGACCTCTTTTGGACTTCCAGAGACCTAAGGGAAGCCAAATACTTTAAATTCCTATTAAAGAATTAATGGCTTTTCAAAGAGCTGATATTAAGAAAAACATGAGTACTTAAGAAATCATTTCTGGTTTTCTTCCTCCCAAATAGCCTCTAATAGCAGGGAAATTTAGGACATTGTCCTTTAGGGGACACCCTTTTATTGCCCTGGTGCTATTGAGCATTGAAATTGAAGTCTTGTAAAGGCAATTCTAGAAGGAACGGTATGAGACAGGGTAGATCTTAGTGAAATATTAAATTCCTTCTTAGACAGTATTGATGCTATTGTAGACTGTTGACGACAGAGGGAATGACTTAAAAGGGTGAGTCACTGATTCTGTGATTGGTTTGAGTTTTCAAAGAGATAGCTCCAAATCACTTAGGAGTAGATTTAAACTATTAATATTTGTACTTATCTTGTTATTGATGATTAGGAAAGGCAATCATTTTGTGTATGGAAATATTTTTAAAGAGCATGTAAATTTGTAAAAACAAGTAACAGACATAGTTTTTGAATTACATAGCCTAATTTATTTATGCATATGTGATACTAGACAAAAAATGCTTGTCTAATTATATTAAACTTTTAGAATGTAGTCTGTACTTCTCTCCATTTGCTATACTAAGTTTCTCTCAATTTGGCCCTAAGCATGGGTTATATTAGGATATGAGAAAAGTGCAGGGAAGAGGGTGCAAGTCAAAACTTTAGGTCAGGTGTTTTTTCAAAAAGTAGGCGAACCATCATCTTCATCAGACTCACCTGGGGCACCTAATAAACATGCAGTACTTTGATTTATCAGCTCTGAGTTAGAGTACATTTGTAACAAGCATCATAGGCAATGCTGTGCACAGTGAGCCAGGTTGCTATAATTTTTTTGGCAAATAAACTCACAGACAGTTCTTCATCAGATAACCTCCAAGAATATTTGTATGCAAATTAGCATTTACTCAGCAGTGCAGTTGAGTGATAGAGCAATGAAGGCATCAAATGGCCTGAGAATAAAATTTAATTTAAATGGATTAAATAAATTAGCCACCAAGTAGCTTAGTATGGATCTTAAAAGGCTGAGGAAAACCCAGTGAATCTCAGAAGCCAACATGTCAGAAAGAGAGAGAAATTCAGCTATGAGAGAAGACAGAAGGTACACAGACCACCATGTATACCAGGCTTACAGGGATTTCTACCATTTCTTCTACATCAGCTTCAAAGGCCTGAAGATTTCATCTTCAGTTCCAGTTTGAGGAACTCCCAATGTCATGAGTCAGTGAAATTCCTTTACAGGAATGATCAGATATAATAGCTTCATTAATTTAATAGTTGATTTAATGAATGTATGCCTGCAATTGTGAAGGAGGAAGTATTTTGAACCAGTCAGGGATTGTAACATGAAACCCGGATGGCTGGAAAATTTCTGTATTTCTAATTCGCATAGAATATTTACCCACGATGACTTGCACAGTGTAGTTTCAAACATTCAGTGCTAAGTAGTTAAAGCAAAGTGTACTTTTCCTTTGTTTGCTACCTTTGAAAGATCAAACTATGGAAAGACTTGAGCTCTGTATGTATAACTTCTCACATACTTTAATGTGCTCCCTTCTTTAATAAATTTATTTATTTTTGGCTGCGTTGGATCTTCGTTGCTGCGCTTGTGGTTTCTCTAGTTGCGGCAAGTGGGGCCTACTCTTCGTTGGGGTGCGCGGGCTTCTCACTGCGGTGGCTTCTGTTGTTGTGGAGCACGGGCTCTAGGTGCGCAGGCTTCAGTAGTCGTGGCTCGTGGGCTCAGCAGGTGTGGCTAGCAGGCTCTAGAGCACAGGCTCAGTAACTGTGGCATACAGGCTTAGTTGCCCTGGCCCAGGCTTGAACCCCTGTCCCCTGCATTGGCAGGCGGATTCTTAACCACTGCACCACCAGGGAAGTCCCTAATATGCCCTTTTTCTGGTAAGCAATTTTCTTGGTACTATCTTGTAGCTTTCACTCAAAACTAGATCATTCAAGACATGTATCTTTTATGCAATATGATAGGAATGGATTTTAATGTCTCCTTCTATTAGGTTCCTGTTGGTGTTCCAATGAACAATAAGTATGTGATCAATGGAAAAAATGCTAATGAAACAAGGCTCAAGATAATGCAACTTTCCGAGGAAGATCAGGGATCTTACTGGTGCCATGCAATATTCCAATTAGGCGAGAGTGAAGAACACATTGAACTTGTCGTGCTGAGTTACTGGGTGCCTCTCAAAGCATTTCTTGCAATAGCTGTTGAGGTTGTTCTTTTAGTGGCTATTATTCTGCTTTGTGAAATGTACACCCAAAAGAAAAAGAAGCACTCAGGTAGGATTTCTTTTTTTTAGATAATTCTTATGTTATGACTTAATCCATTATGGTGGCTTTAGAAAACAAATCTAACTTTTGTTTTTTGTAGTGGTATTTATGTTAATAACAATGGTGACAGTGAGCTATGAGCTTATATTGATAGTCTTCCTGTATCAACTTCCTAAAAAATTTTAATGTTAAAATATACCTTTTTTCCCTTTTCTTTGGTGTTACTGGGACCAGCACACCAATTAAGTGATATGTGCACTGGTACTGGAATATTAGAAAATTCTGCATTAGCTTAATATAAAAGATCTCAAAGACAAACAATTATTCTTTCATTTAGATAACTCATTTTTAAAAATGTTTTATCGAACATTCTGAAATTCTCATAAAAGACATTGCCTGCCAGCTTTCTGTTTTCATAGCCTGTGCCTAATGGATAACAGACTGAAAAACCAAAGGTCCCCTAAAAAAATTTATTTTATATTCTGCATTTTTTCCTGATTTTGTACTAAATTTTTCATAACTTAAATAATTACAAATCAGTCAGTTCTGTTTTTGATGATCCCAGGCACCAGACTATGCTTGATCAAAACTGCAGGCAATTTTGCAAGTCGGGAGAGCAGGGAAGGAGTGGACATGATGGAGAGGCAGCTGTCTGATGGGGCCCATCTCTCTCATTCCAGAGCGGGAAAACAGCACAGGCAGTCAGGGGATGTTGAATTCAGGGGAAAGTAGAATTGAGCATATATGCTTTGTAAGAATAATAAACCAATCTTAAGAGTTAAATTCTTCTTTTGTTACATAGATGATGGGAAGGAATGTGAACAAATTGAACAGCTGTAAGTATTATTTTTTATAGGTTAATTTTCACATGCGTAAAATACAGATAAATATGAAATTAAATAAAATGTTTGCAGTTAGAGGAAAAAAGTACAAGAGTATATAACGTGTGTGTTATTTTCTGTAGATGTCCATGTTGTGGTGAAGAATGGCATTTGGCATTTACCTGCATGCAACAGAATCCCCCTCCACCACTTACTTTCACCTCTCTGTGCTTCAGTTCTCTCTTCAACAAAATGGGTTTAATGATATTAAACATAAGGTTTCTGGATTAAATGACTTTCTATGTGTAAAAATCCTTAGTATAGGCTTTGATGCACAGGAGGCACTCAAGAACCATGAAGTATTATTTGTGTAAAGCAATGATTCTCAACCCTGGCTATATTTTTGATCACTTAGGATGCTCCTTAAAATTACAGTTACTCAGACCTAACTGGATATCTCAGATCAGAACCTCTGGAATGGGTGCCTGGGCATCTGTATTTCTTTAAAGTGCCTATCACTGATTCTGATTCTCAGAATTCAGTGCTGAAAATCACTGGGCTAGAATTGTGTGTCATTATTTTTGAAGGAACACAAATTGTGGCATATTTCTGTTACAGTCTCCTTTGTTTAGAGTTGAGCGGAGCATGAGGAGAACTAGGAAGAAAATTACCAGGGATATCATTTGGTTTGGTGAACGTGGGAGTTACTGGGCCCACCAAGCCAGAGAACTGACAGTGGAGCCTAGTGAGAGAGGTGCTTAAAGTCCAAGTAACACTGCCAAGGGCTGGGGACCAAGAAAATGAGACCAGATTAAAGGAGCCGAAAGAAACCTAGGAAATGGGAGGGCTGAGCAACTGTTACCAACCCAAAATGACATCTGAAGTTTATCTTTTTCAGTCAACAGGGGCTCTGAGGTGTGAGTGCTATAGCCACGGTTAAAGAGCAGGAGTGGGGCGGACAGCTCTCATGCAGATATTCGTAGACATTATTCAAAGTTATTTTTTACTCAGTTCACACATGGCAGGTAACTTAAATCAACAGAATATGAACTTCTAAATTAAGAGCATAAAATAATTATTTTATGGGTCAGGAGTTCCATAACCCCAGATAGGAAAAAAGTGTTGTCTTAGAATCAGAGACTCTCATGGTTGAAAGGAATTTGAATCTCTTTCCAGATAACTTGGACATCTTGTTTGTATTGATTTGAACATTTTATCTTTCTGGTTCCCATGTATTGATTACTTTCTTACACTCAGAGTCATATAAAAAACCGTCATTCAGGTATTTGAAACAATTACTCCCTTGCCTGGATTCTTTGTTCTCCCAGCTCAGCCTCCCCAGTGTTTCTATCCAGTCCCTTGCAGTCACATTTCTCATCTTTAGGTTATTTCAGTATCTTTAGATTTAAATCAAGTATCAAGGGCACTTGTACTCATTTAGAGCAACTTTTCACCAATGCTGTTTTTAGAATTTTTAGTTTAGGAGATAAATTTTTCTTTACAGAGAATATTGTTTATCAATACATTTTATGTTTGATGCTTATATATGTGTTTAGATACCAGCGATTCATGGAATTTCTTGGTGAAAATGACTTGTAAAAATAGTACACTACTAAATAAGCATATAACATCAAAACAAGCTAGTCATTTCAAACAGCATTTATCTGATCCACGCAGATATTTAACCCACACAATTTCACAGAATATTTAACCTACCTGCCCCATCCCCCAAATTTTTAGACAGCTGATTAGGTTGTTGAATTTATTATCTGGTGGTACTAGTTTAATGAGCTCAAGCCTGCCAATAACATCTAGAAGGGTATTTATTATATACCCTTGTAACCTAGTTTAGTTTTCCTTAAGAATCTGGAGCCCACATTGTGGTCTTACTCTGATGCACACTGCGTAGATAAAGAACCATGTTTAACCTCTAATTCAGTGTAATAAACATGTTGAATTACAGTACCTGTATTGCACATACTGGCTGAGCTCCTGATTGGCTATTATCTTGCATGTGTCAGAGCAACATATAAATTAGGCTATATACCCAAGCCTCCACTCATGCTTGGGGAGAAGCAATTCTCCCTCTGCATAAAAGAAACAGGCCTTTGTCACTGTGGCAACAGTTCCTCTCCAAGCAATGGCATACAAATAAAATCAACACTATGAGTAAAACATTTTTAGGAAGAATAAATTCTGTCTGTATTGACCTTTTAAATTTTAACCTAATGGCCATGATATAGGTGGTGTACTGACCTTAGTTTTATGCAATGTAAACATCTAGTAATTTTCTTTCTTGTTTTCTCTACAGGAAATCAGATGATAGCAATGGTATAGAAAATAATGCCCCCAGGCACAGAAAAAATGTAAGTTGCTTCAAAATGGTATTCCAAATAAAATTCAATATGCATAGGCCATTAATCCATCTACATTTTTTAGTTTTAAAAAGACCTAGTCATTCACTATGTGCTTGGATATGCTTTTTAAAACAATATTATAGGAGAATATACATAGTTACACAAAAATAAGCATTTTTCCACCAGAGAACATGTAACAACCAATCTAAAAGTGAATCTATTACACTGAAGATATATATTCTTTTGTCACCACAGGCTAGTTTCTTTTACAATTTTTTATGTAGTCTTATTTTTTTTCTCTCTCAGTTTTTCTGGATTCTCCTATTTTATTGTCACATATTCCCATATACTTGGTGCTATGAATGAATCAGTATTAGCTTATTTTCTTCACTGAATAGAATCAAAATTTTCATAGTTCATAAACATTCTTTTCCTTGAGTATTTAGAATAGGAACTGTTGGTTTTGGCAGTAGTTGGGATCACCTCTTCCAGACATTTTTGCTTTGCTAAAGTGATAATAAGTTATTATAGAATAACCAGGTTATGCTAATTATGTTTCATTATGCTTTATGTAACTCAGGAATCTGTGGGCCAATGAATGAGAAACATCATGTCAAGAGACACAGGAAGATGTCAAAGAGTTTGGATTTCAGCTTTGTTTCTGCTTCCTGTTAAGAATACATGAATTTTTATTTTTAAAAGGATGAAAAGTTTATGCAAGATGCTCAGCAGTAGCTTTGTAAATAATATATGCTATTTCAGATCTAAAGATATATTTTCATTCTATTATTATTTTACATTAAAGCAAGGTAAATTGTATGAAGTATGTTTTATGAGCTGTAACCCAGGACAATTAATTCATTCTAGTCCTCAAGGGACACACAGAACAGACACCAGCAAAACCAAATAGTACACAGAGCAAATGTCACTCAAGACCTGTTTATAACCAAAGAACTCATTAAAGACAAACCCTTTGCCATTTGTCTTAAAAAGCTTTTTCCCCAATCATGTTTACTAGGTATAGAAGTATTTGTAATAATTTTCATGTAAAGTTGATCCTTCAGTCATACTGAAAAAAAGTGTCCTCAGGGGGAAAACTTTCTACCTTTGTTAATGATGATTACTGTACAATGTCCATAAGAAAAACATACTTTTCCTACAAAAATATTGGTTTAAGGCAAGGAAATAAAACCATACACTTGCCCCAAATCTCCATCACCACGAAAGCAGATTTCCTAATCTCATTCCACTCATCGCCACTGTTTTCCCACACCAGGCTAAAGTGATATTTAGTCTTTCTGGAGAACGTTTTTTTATTTTTAATTTTTTTTCTTTGTGGTACGTGGGCCTCTCACCGCCATGGCCTCTCCCGTTGCGGAGCACAGGCTCCGGACGCACAGGCTCAGCGGCCGTGGCTCACGGGCCCAGCCGCTCCGCGGCATGTGGGATCCTCCTGGACCGGAGCACGAACCCGCGTCCCCGCATCGGCAGGCGGACTCTCAACCACTGCGCCACCAGGGAAGCCCCCTGGAGAACATTTTTTAAAGCTATGGGTTTTGGATTTCTTAAGTGACAGTTGGTGTTGATGTTGTAGGGTACAGGTTCACACAGACGGGATGTAGCACTGCTACTGACATGCTTCCGTGCTTCATGGTTTCCTGGTATCCATGGCTGGCTAAATATCTAAAAATGAATTATTACTGGTTTATAATACTAATGCCTTTGTCTGAAATCAAGAAGTACTAAAGCAGTTCTATGTTGCTGCCAGTAACTTAGACTTTTCTTTAAAATAGAATACTTTGTTTCTATTGCATATATAACTGAACTATTTTATAAAAATCACTAAGTCCAATGAAATCTGAATAGACATAAAAAGTTGTTAATGGTTTTGAATGTAACATTAACATCGTATGGCAGGATACTAGGTTAGGTTGAAAACAGTGATGTGAAACATGCTGGGGGGCCCTTGGTTCTGATGAGTCCACTGTCCCCCTGCTCACAGTGCAGCAGGGTTCAGAACAATCACAGGCAAAGAGGGAAGGATTTGGGATGGGGGCAAAGAACCCATGATCTTGGTGACTAAGGGGATTAAAGCTTGAAAAAGAGATGTTCAGTTATTTGAAAAAAATACTTTTTAGACATTTATATGATGCTCTGGCTGAGAAAATTATAATAAAATTCAGGTAGTGAAAAATTATACTTTATATGGCATCTTAACTAATGATGAAAATATTATTAGTATAAATAATACACATAAGTGTCACTTGGAAGCTACTCATTTTGTTGCAGCAGTGTTTTGTGTAAAGCATGTTAACTGTTGACACAAGTTTTGTTGAATAGACTACATCATTTAAGTAATGGCAGGTTTCATCTTATTCTTGTTTTAGAGCAATAAGCCAGGCATTTGTTTTGGTTTAATTAATTATTAATTTGATAAAATCTTGGGTGGTATCTATATGATGGCAGACAACCAAGCAGTTCACTTAATTAAACAATTTGAATTCAGTGAAAAATTATTCAGACCTGCTATTTGACTAAGTCCAATTCAAAACAATGTATTTGTGACTGGACATATACAAATCCCCAATTTGTAGCTCATATGCAGTACGCATTCTTCTCTTTTGCCACCACAAAATGGTTCTCAAGCAAGAAAAATTGCTACCCCAATGTAAAATAATCTGAAATATTTATGTAGTAAATTGAATTTTTAAGTGTTAATGCTTGCTATTTTTCCTAGCAAAGACAATTCACTTCAGTGACTTTAAGCAGAAAAGGTACTCAGAAAATTAAAGTTGAATTTTGGCTTTTCAGAGTCTCTCTGGAGAACTTCCGGAAAATTATTCCACCACTGTTAGGTTAAAAATGGAATGCTTCCATTAACTAACCTCACAGAGATGAATGGATTAACTAAAAATGACCAATTGTAAATTGAAATGACCAACTGAAAATACTAAGCAAGCAGAAAAGCTGAAGTAGGAAAACTACTCCACGTTTATATATTAGACACCTTGGGAAATTCTATCAATCTTTCTAGCTAACAGAGTTTTGCAGCATAATAAGTAGATTTAATGATGTCTTAAAATTCCCAGATATTTTCATATTCAGTTTATGCTCTAATGTAAATCTTCTCTTTGCAGTCTTTCCCTTTTTTTCTCAGCATCTAGTTACCCAGGCCAAAACCTAGAGCTCACTGTGCTGTTTTCTTCTCTATTAACTAATGTTTATTAGTCATGAATCTCTATTCCTTTGGCCTTTTTAATAGCTCATTAATCCACCCACTGCTTCCCCTACCCCATGCTCGCCAGCTGCAACAGCTAAGGCCTTGATTTTCCTACCTCAGTCTCATCTTCGGTTAATCATTTTTTGCATTGCTGCTGGGCCATATTTCTGAAACACAAATCTCACTATGTAGCTTAATGTGGCAGCTTCCATGACAAAGCTCTACAGGCTTACCTTTGCCATATCTTAGTATTGCAGTTTTCCAAATTGCGAATCCTTTCCCACTGTCTTGATTTAGCCTTGACATAGAGAGTCTGTCCAGAATGCTGCCCCCTGTGCTCCTCCCTTTTGATGAACTCAAGTTCAGCTTTCAAGACTTTAATCTGATGTTACTTCCTGGTAGATCCCTCATACCCAGCTGAGTATGTGCCATCTTATGGGCTCAAATAACTCCATGTTTCTTTGTGCTTATTACCCTGTATTATAAATATGCACTTATATGTCTCCTTCCTGGATTCTGCTTTTATTTCTGTATCCCGTACCTAACACAGAGAGGGTACATTGGAGATGCCATGAAGTGTGTGGTACATGGATAAATGTACAGGTAAACATCAAATTTCATAAAGTTATACTTATTTTTAGAAGAAAAATCTAAATTATGACATCAGAATTGAAACAAAATACTTTAACAGAGATAAACAAGCCTTCAAAACTTCATTGTTTGCTTCTACTTCTTTGAAAAACAGTAATAATAGAATAAAAAGTCCTGTCAGATTTTAATAATGTGTAATAATCTAATGAGCAAAGGGAGTTCTGATTCCTAAACTATTATACAGGGTCTGTTGCTTTCAACTTATCTAAATTCCTATTGGGACTTCCCTGGCAGTCCAGAGGTTAAGACTTCACCTTCCAATGGAGGGGGTGCGGGTTTGATCCCTGGTCAGGAAGCTAAGATCCATATGCCTCCCGGCCAAAAAACTAAAACATAAAACAGAAGCAATATTGTAACAAATTCAATAAAGACTTAAAAAATGGTCCACATCAAAAAAACTTAAAAAAAAAAAAGTTCCTATTGTCCTTTATTTTTCATAGGCAGTGCAAATGTTAACCTTATTTTTATCCTTTATTTTATTTTTATTTATTTTATTTTTTTTGCGGTACACGGGCCTCTCAATGCTGTGGCATCCCCTGCCGCGGAGCACAGGCTCCGGACACGCAGGCCCAGCGGCCATGGCTCACGGGCCCAGCTGCTCCACGGCATGTAGGATCCTCCCGGACTGGGGCACGAACCCGTGTCCCCTGCATCGGCAGATAGACTCCCAACCACTGCGCCACCAGGGAATCCCAATCCTTTATTTTAATAAGACAGTGTATTGACTTTATATACATAAAGAATTTTAGTAATTGTAGTTCTTTGCATGGTACTATAGATATTAGTGTCCACTCCACTAATTTTCTCTTTCCTCCTCCCTGCCAATACCTCAAGAATATCCCAGAGTACCTCAAGAGTACCTCAGAATATCTCAGAATCCAATTCAAAATTTGTATTAAATATATTTTTTAGAAAGCTTTCGTTGGTTAGTTTTGGTCACTGAAAGTTTGTCGTTAATTAAATTAATCAAAAGAAAAGTTCTGCTCACTATTCCCTGGGTTTTCCATCTTTGAGGCATTTAAATAGATTTATGCAAATTATTTACTTAATATCTACTTCTTTATAGAAAATGAATCTTCTCTAACTGAACAAGTTATGCAATGAATTAGGGACTTGCTTCCCGTTAGCACGTTTAGGTGGCAGCAAGTTCAAGTGTGTGTTCCAGTATTAATTAAAAGGCACACTGACCTATTATAGCTTTCTCTGAATTTATATTTATTGAATGACTGAAAAACAGATGAATGACTCAATTATTTTGGAATCTTAAATTATACATATTTATGTACTATCTACTTTGATTTTGATTAATTGTGAATTTATCTTCTCTAGCATAGATAAAAAGAAAACTGGAACTATCTATGTGCATTTCTTTCACGTGATATTTAGGACTGTATTTGCAGTATACCTGAAAGGTCAGTTACATACTCAGTTCATCAGTTGAGTTCTTTATTGAGGGTATATCATATTATTAAATAGTAATAAACACATTTGTTGAGTGCTTAGCATGTGACAGGTACTGTGCTAAATACTTTGAAATGTGTTATCTCATTTAATTTCCACATCATCTTATGCTATAGAAACTATTAAATACTTTTTTATAGATGAGGAAACTGAAGCTTGAGAAATTAGGTATTTGGATCTGGGATTGAAATTCAAGGAGTCCTCCTCAAGAGTCTAGGTTTAACTACGTTGAACAGCTTTGGCCTGCTACTTAGGTGCTTCTTAGA